CAACTAAACCAGCAAAAATCACTCGTTACAAGATAGTACATGAAAAGATTTCGATACACTGTACAACCGAGCTGGGTTTCACCCCCTTAAAAACACATACAAACTGGTATAGGCTGTTGCCGTATAGTGTACATGGGAGAAGATAAACAAACAGAATTAAAATCTCACCAGCCCATCAATGTTCTTCTAACCCTATCTACAATAGTATTTCTACACACCACGGTTGACAAGTCAAAATCACAATTTTCATCCAAGAGGAACTTGTAAACTTCCCATTCGCGGTCTAATGTTGAATGCCTGCCGATTTCTGCCTGTAAAAATCACAGGGAGTATGGTTATGGTTCCCACATTAACTTCAGTTCACGAAGAAAGAAGACAATTTTGCCTAAATATGACCAAAACAGAACACATTTCCATAAATCAAATACAGTAACAATTTGCAGTCCTTAAAGGCTATATTTGTTTCTAGGAAAATCGTCTGAAGAAATGTTTTTGGTGGAACATGTCTTTCCATAATATACGAAGTATTGTTCTATGCATAACATAATATTAACCCACACAATTTAAAACATAAAACAGTCTCAAGAAGATGGCCTTCCTATTCCCAAACTAAGATGTCATTTTCCACAAAAGTCTATGAGTATATTCAGCTCACGGAAAATGCAACACAAAATCAAACAAAATTATGCTTTCTTCGTATATTTAGATTTCTTAGTCTTCACATAAATAATATAAATAACTAAAACTGAGTTTGAAATAATCTAAAATAAATTCATCAGGCTGGATTCTATTCTTTGTTACCCCCATTTTATTTCCTTTTAATTTTCCTCCCAATTATATTTTCCTGATATTTTCTAGGTTCCAAATGGACCCTAAATGTTTTGAGGAAATTGTTTTCCTTTGCAAAATGGATAAGAATAAGAAAATATTTTCATACGAAAAACTAATGGCTGCTAATAAAACTAATGTTAATGAACCAAAGGCCTTACTGAGAAGATGCAGATCCCAAGGGTCTTTAGGGAATAAGTGACGTCATAGAAAACACGGGGTCTCCCCCTTCCTGACAGCTCCACTGGATTGGCTACAAGAAGTTCAGTATCTGGTCCACGGTTTGATATAATCACAGGTAAAGGGTGAAGCAATTCCACCTTCAAGCGCGAACATAGAGCAGCTTGTTTCTGAGCGTCCACAATTTTCTTCCCATCCTTCTGTTGGATAAACAGGTCTAGTTCTCGCTGGCCCTTATTGGCTTCAGATGAACGGCCATATGCTATCTGAACAGCAATAATACCAGAATTAATTTGGTGAAGTTGTGAATCAAAAGGATAATCTTGGTAAAGCCCTTATTAATGGCTGATTCTGTGCAATTTGGTCAAGCTGTGAATCAAATGAATAAATTTATGATTTATCTTAAAAAAAAGTACTCAGACTATATTTCTTAGAAAATTAAGAGAACTAGAGAAGTATATCTAAGAATGAGGGTAGAAATGACATTTTCTACTTTAGTTTCACCCATTTAAGCCGCAAAGGAACTTCAATACTACTTGTTCCTTTCAAACAGATCCAGCATGCTGAATATACTACCTCCGTCCCATTTTACATGTCCTACTTTGGTTTGGCACAATTATTAATAAAGTGGTTGAAAAAAGTAAAAGTTGTGATCGAATTGAGTATAATAAAATGAAATGATGATGTAGATCACACATTTCTTTCCAAAAAAGGAAATGTAATGCTTATTTTGGGACAACCCAAAAAGAAAGCATGACAATTAAAATTTGGGACAGAGGAGTATTTCATAAGGCTGATAAACAATAAAAAGGTATACAAAGTGAGCTCCATTTCAATACAAGAATAGCAAGGATAGATTATGACCTGAATATAACAGTCCTTCAGTGTTCGCATGATGTCATAGAGAAATCCCTTGTGATCAATGCAACTAATCTGAAGCAATGTGTGACCAGGACTCAAGGAATTATCTACCACCACACTAGTTTTCACCACATCTGGGGTGCGTGCTTGTGAGTAGCGAGTTTCCTTTTCTGATAATTCACATTGAAACAACTTCTCTGCATCTGAAGGGGAAAGGGCAGAGATGTACTGATAATTTTCAAACTCTTGACCAGCTAACTTGAGCTCACAGCTAATGCATGATTCCCCTACAACACCACACAACCTCTCACATATTTCCTCTTGTTTTCTCTTTATGTTTAAGAGCTCCCTGAAAGCCAACATAAAAATAAATTTGAGCACACACCTTAATACCTAGCATGTACTTCAGCTTTGAAGTGAGTGGTGTCACATTAACAATCGTACAGGAATTTAATAATTTCAATAATTAAGACCAATTACTCAGGACTACTTTGTGATTACTCGGCCCTGTATTAATTAAATTTTAAAACATACTTACATAGATGCCCCAAAGTTCTAGTGATATATTAGTCTTATAAATCTTAAATATAAATGAAATAATAACGATCCTAATAATGACATAGTAACAAATCCCAATAATCATAAACACTCTAACTTCTAAGAAATTCAATCGTGTAATCATACTTGAATCTAAACTTTTGAGTTTTGACTGAAACTAATCTTGATTGGGTTCAAGGTCATCATTTTCTTCTTCACCCTCTTTGTCCCCAATTCCCAAACCTAGACTGGATTTGTATTCTTATCTATCCAAATTTTAAAATACCTACTAATTATTCATAAATTCCATAAAATCCCAATTTAGTTTAAAATTTTCAGATTTAACCCCCCCAAAAAACAATATTGGCTGCCAAGTAACTCGGAGAGAGTCAACTTTGTCACCGTGTAGAGAAAATTGCCAAGTACTCGGCAAGTTACTCGGGAAAATGGAATAGTGCGAATTAGAGTACTAATTAGTAGATCATCCTACCATGAGTAGTAGCGTGTACTCGCTGAGTACTCGGCGATTAGATAACTTAGCTTGATAGTTGAGACAGGAAGCTTTAACATCAAAACTGGACTTTGCACCATGTTTAGTGTTCTAAAATCTTGAGTTCATAGGTCATGCCTCACCATTATGCTTTTTCTGTTAAGGTCTGAAGGACAATACAAAAGCATAGTGCAAAGTCCAATTTGATGTCAATATGGGATGCAAAAGTCATTTTTCCCTGTTTGATAGTAGTGATAAATGAAGGCATATCTGGCCTTTCAAAAATTATTACTGGTCCTTAGTATAAATCATAAATTTGGGGGGTGAAAACTCAAAAGAATTTTTAAGCATGGAACGCAAAATTCAATTCTGATGCAAACTTGGGGTGTCACCCAAGTTTTAATAGAAATAAAAAAGCTTTTTTAGTTCTTGAATACAGAAACTATATTAATTGTGGACCCCCACAATCCCCCCCAAAAAGATCTTGTCCAGTTCCCTTTTTTGTCTCCCTACAAAAGAAGTGTCGTGTTTGCTAAACAAGACTACTTCAATTACCCTAAAATGATTCACAAACAAGTTATATATGATAAATTTAGTCAAACCAATATAACATCCAAGCCTTAGTCCTGAAAGAGTTTGGTGTAGGTTAACATGAATCAACATATAAAATCGGAGCGAAACAAGGATAAAGTGGAAGCAATCCTCCACACGTATATTCTCCCTCTACTTCGCTCTCTCCAAAGGCATACTCTCACTCAATCAGAGAAATACCATATTAATATGTCATTCCTCGTGATTAATGATAGATGAACTTTAGCAAAACCAAAAAGTTGTACATTTTTTAAACGTGATTTTTCTTTTTAGGGGCTAGGTAGGAAGTACTAATTGTAAACTTGCTTAGTTTCAAAGTTATCTTTACACTTCCTTTTTCTCCAACCCAAAATTTCATTGGCTTCCTTCTATGGAAAGAATCGTATAGTTCATACTGTTTCTCTTTATTCGAAATAAATCTTAAACACACAACTTTCTTTTTCTTAATATGCATTCCAAGCGAAAGTGGGTAACAATATGGGGACAGGAAGTATTAAAGAACCAACTTGTTAAATATTTAGCTGGATAGATATACATTAAAATCCTAGGCCTCTTATAAAGCTACAGAGAGAGAGAACAAGTAATTCTTACAAGTTATCTTTTATGAAGAAAAGATCCAGCACACGGCCATCCGGTGTTGTTGTCACTTTGACTCTTTCGATGGACAGCTCAAGTTCACAAAGAAATCTGGTAACATCTATCATATTTCAAAAACAATATCAGATTAGAATGTAAATCAACAAAAACATGTTTGAAGAAAGGGAGCTCTTCAATACCGTGCAATAATCCTCTCCGATCAAGACAACAAAATGTCAATAGGTATATGGAGGATGCAGGAGCGGAGGGAGATGTCGGATATAAGTAAAGTAATGAGGAACATGTTGGACAGATAGAAAGAAGGCGTTCCTTTAAATTGGCCCACCTCACAGTAGGGGTGTAAGATTGAGGAGCAACCCATAAAACTACATAGCACCATATCCCATCTGTTGAAAAATCTGATTCCAATAAAAACCATGAAGTTAGTGATAAACTTTTTAGTATTAACCACTAACAAGAAAGAACAAAGCAAAATTTGATGCATTCAGCAGCTCGCTATGGTGCAAAATAATAAATTAGGTCATCAACACAAATATATGAACAAGAATAAGCTACACATGAATCCCGGCAAAGATGTATTGGTGAATTTTTAAATTCGAATCATTCAGCAGGACCAAGAATTGCAGTGAATACAATATAAAACAAGAAAAGCAGTTTATAAAACCTAAAGCTTAACCATTTACAGGAGTAGGTTGATAAAACAGATAAAATTATAAGAAAAAACAGAATAAAAAGCTAGGATTACCTCCTTTTCTAACGTAGAGCCCGAATTCGAGAAGGGTTCGACAGATATCGCAACCAAGGCCGGTCTTATCTGGACAATTGACCGTAATCATGTACGGATCTCCGGTCCGGTTCCCTTTCTGAATCACTACGGCGTCGTCGGACGGCATTGACCTCAACTCTGCCTAATCTGGTAGGAAATATCGAGAAATTATGGGATGAATCCAAGCTGATTGAGGGTAAGCTGGAGGCGTACTTCTAGAGCGTGTGGAAAGAATGAAGAATAGAAAAGCGATGGCTTTTGCGGGGAACTCAGGAAGTGTGACCTCTCCATAATAACCAAGTAATGTTTTCTTTAACAGGATAACACTACTCTGAGACAGCTCGTTTTTTACACGGAAATAGGTGATTTGTAAGGGGCTAGAATTCTTCCCTCTATCTGGCCATTTCCTAATTTAGGTAGTACTAAGGACTTTAAGAAGTAAATAATAACGGCAGCACTAGAGGTAGGAACAAAAAGGAAACATACCGGACCTAAAAATGTAGGCCTAATACACAAAAATAATACTCCGTACTAGTAATAATTTAATTTAATTTCTGATATATCATTATCTTTTCAAAATTCAAGATATATTAGGATCCGTTTATTTTAATGTATTAAAATCAGTTACTTTCACTTTTCATGAAGTATGGTATAATTTTGGTGGAATTTGACTTTGCAACTTACCTTCTGAATGATAATGGACTTTGCATCTCATCACATATCATCTTGTGAAAATAAATTTATGAATGAGATGCAAATTCAAAGGATTTTTAAGTGGAGTGAGGTGCAGAGTCAAAATATTTTGCAAATGGGGTGCAAAGTTCAAAAAGACAGATGTAAAGTCAAATAATCCCTATAATTTTCTGAGGTCTCTTTACTATACTTCTTTATTCATCTTATTTGGAAAATATTTGTTTTGATTGATTCAGGTTATTGGCCTTGTTTGACAATCAGTTGTTAGCTTTTAGCTTTAGATGGTTATAATAGCAGTTTGAAAATAGTTGATTGTGTTAGTTGTTTTTATTAACCGGTTATGTAAGCTTGTTGTCAGCAACTGTTTGGTAAAATCAACTGTTTAAAATAGTTGTTAGAGTGTAAAAAGACATATAATGACATTAATATAATTATCAAATCTTTACTATCAAATCGTTACTCGACCACAACAAAACTACACGACATTAATCAAGTCAATAATAGAAAATAAAAACGAAAACCCAAAAATGGTACAATTATTGCGGAATTAGTAGTTTAGCTGTGTGTTTAAAAGAAGAGCAAAAGGTTTTCTTCTCAAAGGAGCGTGTATCACCAGCAACTCCCAATTTCTTTCATTCCTGTAGTTTTTCCGTTTGTCACTATCTTCAATTATCTAAGGAGACGAGGAAGCCATTTTTGGAATTTTAGGGCCTGTTTACTAACAGAAATATTTTCCAGTTTTCCAGATAACTGGAAAACTGGAAAACAGAAAACAAGAAACGTGTTTACAAAAATAAATTGATGGAAAACTGGAGAAAGGAAAACAGAAAAACGTGTTTACCAAATCGTTTTCCAAAACGGAAAAAATGAGACATGTTTCTCTTTTCCTTAATGATTTGGAGAAGTGACTTTTACTAGTTTTCCAAATTTGGAAAACTCAGATGCTACAGTGTCACTACAATGAATTTGCATACTTACACCTAGTGGTGGGTTTGGTCTCGTTCCGATGTCGATTCCATTCCGGTACCTCCATTCTCGTACCTTACCCCTACCCTACTCACCCTACCCCCACCCCGCGTACCCCTTTTCCCTACAATGACCCTACCCCACCCCCTACCACATGCCTCTACCTTGGCCCCACCCCGATCCACCCTACCCTACCGCCACCCCCCTACCACCTCAACCCCACCCCGACCCACCCTACCCCCCACTCCTCGTATATTACCCCTTACCACATGCCCCCTACATCGGCCCCACCCTACCTCCATCCTACCCCCACCCTCGTACCCCCACCCTACTACCATCCTACCCCCACCGGCCATCCTACCCTTCCCTTACCTCTGCCACAACCCTAACCCACCCACTACCCGCACCCTTACCCCTAACCACGACCCTAACCCACCCACTACCCCCACCCAACCCCTTACCCCTAGACCTTACCACCCCACCCCCGACCCGTTACCCCACCCCGACCCCTACGAGTAGGTGTGGGTGGGTATGAAGGGTTGTAAAAGAGTATGGGTAGAGTGTAAGATCGTGATAAGGGTAGGGGTAGGGGTCAAGGGTGTGGAATTGGGTATAGGGTGTAGGGTGTAGGTACGAGGTATAGGGGCAGGGTAAGGGTTAGGGGTATGGGTACACGTACGAGGTGATCGACCCCACATATTAACGCGGGTCTTAATAAGCACCATTTAGTAACCCGTGAAGTAAACGTGTCCTCGGATGATCACAGAACTGGGTGAAAAAATTGATGAACATGTTTTCAAATTTGAAAATGGAAAACAAAAAAATAGAAACAGAAAATTGGAGATAGAAAAACTGAAAAATAAAAACAGAAAACTAGAGAACGAAAAACAGAAGTAGAAAACAGGAAAATATCTCTGTTAATAAATAGTCCCTTATTCTCTCATGTTTTCATGCATTAACAACTTGATTATCCCCAAAATAAAAAGTTAGCTGACAACCCAATTTCCAAACGAGGACATTGTCAACACAAATAGAAAAATTGTCAGACGTTTGATCATGTCTTTTACCTCATTCAAATCAGTTTACACATTTAGCAATCAAGCAAAAATCTTAAGGAAAATCAACTTCTATGAAGTTAAGAATTTAAAGTTGTGTAACGAGACATATCTTAATGTCATTTGCAGTTTTAAAAAGATGGTTATTATTGGTGGAAATGTAACACAAAGGTTTTGATCCGTAGGGTAATCTAACAGCCCCAAACTTGAAGAATGAGGATATGTTATAGGGAGTTTAAGTAGAAAACATGCAAATATGTTTTATTATAATTATAATTACAACAATATGTAATTATGTATACTCAATGGCAGGGAAAACTAGGCTAATGCTTGGATTACACTCTGCTACTGTTTTATTGCATGAAAATTGACCTGTTCTATGATCAGGCCAATTGCAAATAGGTCTTTGGCCAGTGGCAGAGCCACCCTTTGAGGTGTGGTGTCAATTGACACCACTTATTTTTTTTCCCATATGTGGGTATATAATACTCCGTATTTTATCTAAAAAAATTGACATCACTGAAAAATAAAAATTCTATGTATAAGCATATACTCCGTATAATCTTTTATAAATTGACACCACGGATTCTAGATCTTGGCTCCGCCCCTGTCTTTGGCTCTATCACGTTCAATCTATTTTACTCATTTTCCCAAGGTGGTTAAACTTCTTCCATTTTTCGGGTCTAGGCTACCCAGATTCAATTTCATCACTATTGATTGTTGTGGCTTCTCATGATTCTTGTGTCCCAATATCACACTCTTTCTACACTTGTTTTGCCGAGCGCAAAGCTGATTCAGGCTCAATGCATTAGTAATACTTATTAAAATGATAGAATTTCATTTCATTCATTTCTATAATATAATATTGTCATTTTCAAAATTTTGACCAATTATATATTTTTAATGGAAAACATTTATAATATAAAAATAATATAAAAATCTTCTTTGTTAAAAGTACTTTTATAGAAATATAAAATTTATAATTTCCATTATATTGTACTAAACAAAATCATGGTTAAAATTTTACAAAATAACAAAGTTTTTACTTTTTAGGATGAAGGTAGTACTCCGTATTAGATAACTTTTTGTAATTAGTCGAGTTTTTTTATAGAAATAAACACAAAATTACCTATTTACACTGCATGGCATATTGGCATGACTCAAACAACCTTTTTTATCAATTTGATATTGAGTTTTTTGGATGGCGAAACTTTATCAAAATAACTTTTCACCAATTTTTTGTGTTCACTTATCAAAAGGGACAAATTGAGACTTGTGATCCTAACATATGATATCAATGCCAATTTTGTACCGGTGATACTTTTGAATATTTTGCCAAAAAAGTGGTTCTCACGAAAGAGTGTTACTTGCCTTTTTAGTTCATTTAGATAACGAACTTATAATTATCATTATCATCTAGATAACTTGGAAATCATAATCATGATTTCGAAGTAATAATTGTGTGGCTCATAATCATCTTCTAATTTGATTGAGCTCACACTTTCTCCTATAAAGAGGAGTCTTCTCCCATTTAATTAAAACACCATTAATTAATAACTTTATGTCTCTATCAAGAGTATACTTAAAATAATCACTCTTTTCATAATCTTGAGTATGCTTAAAATAATCACTCTTTTCACAATCTTCTACTTATTTCCTTCCATTTCATAATACAACCTGTTTTTAATGAAAATTATCAAGTGTGATTTGATGAATAGATGAATGACAAATTTGAGAGATCAACAATGATGTTGATACTGTTAGACAAAATAGAATGTTAATATTATCTTGTTTAGGTATTATAATAGGCTTTAGAGAGAGATATACAATATATTGTAAGCACACAAATCATTCTGCAAACCGTATATATTTGCCTCATTTCGTAACCGTGCGTTTGGGTCATTTATGGTCATTTAGAGTATCTTCATTCATAATATTCAAATAAAGAGTTTTTCGAGTACACCTAATTGTGATGTAATTCTTACGACATTAAATTCTGAATAATCTCAAAGCTTTAAATTATTCATTAACAATGAAGTTCATATAGTTAGCTTTTTTATGACATGCATTAAATGCATTTTCACTATAATCTATAATAATCCAAGATTTGAATCTTGATACCGGAATTTCTATTTAAATAATTCCCCTAAAAAATCTATTTCCTTCAATGTTAATCTTTGAAATAATCTAACATGCCATCTCATTAATCTTCAAATAAGGGTGATGCCCTTATACATTAAATACTCATTGTGAACAACAACAATATACTGAGTTTATTTTTCATTAGACAATACTCCGTAATTGTATGGAGAATTCAGACTCTCGACAACTGTGATGAGTGGTCACTCAGTAGAGGGCGGTCTCTGTAAGTATCGGGACATGATCTCACTCTCTATCTGTCAGATTATAGTTATAGGTTATAGCCCAATTTACATCTCCTTTTTTGGAAGGTGTGTAAGAAGATGGTAAATGATCTCTGCCAAATGGCTGCTTAATCTTTTCTTTGCTAATTGCTATGCTTATTGAAGCAAAACCCATATCAGCCGCCTCTTAGCTGCACCCACCCACATCTTTTTCATTTCTGTAACAATCACGGTGAACATGAAGGTCATGGTAGCCATCAAACGGGTCATTGACTATGCCGTCAAGATACGGGTTAAACCGGATAAGGTAATCGCAGGTTCCTGTGGACATAGTAGTTGTGGTTGCAGGATACTCAAAAATCTGATTTTTAGTGTATGTATTTGCGATTCTCTTGTTCTTGATTCAATTGATACTTTTATTTCACTCAGAGTGGTGTAGAGACCAGCAATGTGAAGATGTCGATGAACCCATTCTGCGAAATTGCTCTGGAAGAAGCGCTCCGAATTAAAGAGGCGGGTCTGGCTACGGAGGTGGTGGCAGTGACTGTTGGCCCGACTCAGTCAGTAGAGACTTTGCGAACCGGGTTAGCCATGGGTGCGGACCGGGCGATTCATGTTGAAGAACCCAGGACTCTTTACCCTCTTTCGATTGCAAAAATTCTGAAAGCTCTTGTTGACTTGGAGAAGCCTGGACTTCTTCTCCTTGGCAAACAGGTCGTTCTTCCCTTTTCTTCACCTCCTGTGCTTTTTATCCTTGCTCTGCTTTATTGTTTATGTTCCTTTCTTGGTATGCTATTTCATTGGTGTATTCCAGAAATCAGAATATAGGGTTTGGATTTTTGTTTCATTGGTTTAGATATCAAATTATGCATTGCAAGTGTATATTAGGCTTGAGAGTTGAGAGTAATTATGGGGTGAAAATTCCTTGTGTAAATAGCCCAAATCTGGGGTGAGGTGAGATGAGGGTTCACTACCACCCTTCTACCTCAAACTTAACAAAACACACACCACTATACTTTCCATCCTTGCCTCCAAAACATTCCCACCAAACAAGGGCTAAAGGGAAAAGGAACAATGTGATAGGGTTCTTGAGAGGACAAGGGAAACTCCAAAACCTTGTCATTTTTTAGCGTCAGCTAGGCCCAACTAGATACAGTATCAGGACTGACCAGATTTTGGTTTGATTTTTATTTGGCGACTCATATTTTTAAGTAGCATGTTTATAGTCAGTTTGATTCATCTATCTACCCTCGAGTTATAGGATTGTTTGGAGGAGTAAGGTCCGATCAAATAAGTAATAAACCTTCATGTTTCAGTAGTAGTCTGCTTGGTTTTAGATTCTACAATTAAGCCTTTCTCGGTTCAGATAAGATGCAGACACCTACTTTAGCCTTCACCTATAAATCACTTCATGTTTCATTGGTAGGCAATTGATGATGATTGCAATCAGACTGGTCAAATGGTTGCAGGACTTCTTCAGTGGCCGCAAGGAACCTTTGCTTCAAAGGTTAGCATCTCGTCTCGTCTAGTTTTTCCTAATGAAGGCACACGCTAAGGACACTCCTTTCCAATGTTCCTTTTGGGCTTTTAATGTCCTCTCTGTATCATCTTGTTACTTCTGAATGCATCATATTAGATTCTCTATTGCCGCTTGAAGCTCTAAATCGCTTCATTGTGCTGCTGGTTTGTTTCTGTTTCATTTGTAATTAAAATCCATTATTTTTCATATTCCCATTCTTCTCTTAATTCATTGGTTTCTAACTATATTATCAACAGGTCGTTGTGGAACAAGAAAAACAGACGGTAACTGTAGAGAGAGAGGTTGATGGTGGGATTGAAACATTGTGTTTGGACCTACCTGCAGTAATCACGTACGACCCCCTTCACTAAAATTTATTCCTGTCCATCCTGCTGTCTTAGCTTCTACAAAAGCTTTTATCATCCTGAAACATTTGGTTGCATTGAACAGTAATGTTATCTCAGTTTAATATTTGAATTTGAAAATATTTCAGTTCTTTCCTATATGTAATACACTAATACGGAGTAGGTCATTTTCACTTTTGGTGCATGGCTAGTATCTGTTTTGATGCATATGGTTCTTCTGATCACTGGTTAATTTATGCTTTCTTTTCTACAGCACTGACTTGAGGTTGAACCAACCGAGATATGCGACACTCCCTAACATAATGAAAGCAAAGTCAAAGCCAATAAAGAAGATTACACTTCAGGAGTTGAATGTGGAGATAAAAAGTGATATAGAGATCGTGCAAGTTAATGAGCCTCCCAAGAGGAAAGCTGGAGTTATACTCTCATCTGTGGATGAGCTTATTGACAAACTAAAGAATGAAGCACGAGTCATTTGAGTCTCTTGCTCAATTCATTAGTTTTTTACTCAATTGTTATTGCACCTTCCTAAAATCATCATACATGTGTTCAACTTCTAAGTATTATATTAGTAAAATAATTAAATGCAAAAAAAACATACAATTATTTATATCTTTGTTGTAGTGTGGAAAACTAACATCTCTAGTACCCCTCCATCGGAGGACCCAGAACCCTAAATGGGTGTTCTGGTTACAGTTCTCAGTTTATTCTCAAGCGCGTATACTGTATAGGGGTTACAAATGGCCGACTTTGCAAATCATCACGAGAGCTTCTCTACCTACAGAGAGACATGATCACTATAGACTTCATTAGGGAAAAAAAACTCAAATTGTCAACTGGAACAGCTCAGGAAGAGCCTTCAAAACTACAGGTTGACAATTCATAGCAGCCATGGCTGTCACTGCCTTTAAAGCTAAGTAGGATTTGTAATCACAAGTCAAAGGGAACTTTTTTGTTGAGCAAAATTAGGTGCAAGGACACAATGAAAATAAGGATGTTTTCATTTGAACTGAAATTTTCTGGTCTGGTTTATATAAGTCTAGTTTGACCTGGTCTAGGATTGAAAACAATCCAAAAGAAAACATCCTAAGAACATCAACAAATAGCAGTTCAAATGAAACTCGAGGCGCAGTGCCAATGTTCTGTTAAAAGATTGATAACCTAATATCAATGAAAATCACATCATAGAAAAAGGAACAACTCAAGCGATGAAACAGAAAAAAGAACTTCACATCCAATTCTCACAACACCATCACACTGGAATGGATTTGAACTGAGAAAATCAACATCTTACTTAGATTACTCAAGTTGTTGGCATTACATAGGATCTAAGGTGAACAAAAAACAGTGATAACTTACGAGCTAAAAGAGTAAAAGATGAAATCCCAGATTGTCATTACACGCGATCAAATTGTCAACTGGAGCAGCTCAGGAAAATCCAGCCTTAGACTTCATGTGGAAGTTCTAAAACTTCAGGTGGATGATTCCTAGCATCCATGGCTGTCACTGCCTTTGAAGCTAAGTAGGATTTGTAATAAAAAAATCCAAGGGAACCTTTCTGTTGATCAAAATTATGCGCAGGGAGCCAATGAAAATTAAAAAAAAAAACTCTCTACAAATGGAGTTCAAATGAAACAGCAGGTGTCGATTTATTTTTATTAAATGCCCTAAATTTATCGTTTCACAGCCTAATGTCAGTGAAAATCGCATCATGGAAAAAGGAACAACTAAAGCGATGAAATAGCAGAAAGGACTTCACATCCAAATCTCACAAGTCGCAACAACATCACACTGCAATCAAATTGAACTGACAAAATCAACATCTTGCTTATATTACTGAAGTTGTTAGCATTACACATGTTCTAAGTTCCCAGAAACAGCGATAACAATAGTAGTACGAGCTATTCAAAAGATGAAATCCCAAATTTAGAAGCATCGAGAAATAATCAGAACTCGTCTATCCACCGAACCCGTACAAGGTTCTTCCCTGCCTCTTCAGCGCATAAACAACATCCATCGCCGTCACAGTCTTCCTCCTAGCGTGCTCGGTGTAGGTCACCGCATCTCTGATCACATTCTCTAGAAAGATCTTAAGAACGCCTCTGGTCTCCTCATAGATCAGACCGGAGATCCGCTTCACGCCACCTCTGCGAGCCAGGCGGCGAATGGCCGGCTTCGTGATGCCCTGGATGTTGTCTCGGAGAACCTTCCTATGACGCTTGGCTCCTCCCTTTCCCAAACCCTTTCCTCCCTTTCCGCGGCCAGACATTTTTACACAGAGAAATTGAATGAAGAAGACGATTGAGTTTGATTACTGAATCTATAATTGTGAACGATTTCGGCTTGGACATTTGAGACGGGGTTGCTTGGCGGTATTTATACACATCAAGGCTCCAGGAAGGAATATGTCGGGGATGTAATCTTGATCGTTCGTTTCAAGTGGTTGATTGACGGTCCTTATTTGCGATCCGAGAGTAAAGCAGAGGCTGTACGTGAGTGGTTGATTTAGCTAATCGACGGATAGAATACACATATTGAATATTTAGAGACACATGGCGCTAAATTTTGGGCGCTCAAATTTTAGCTTGTTTTTAGTTTTGGAGGCCAATTTTTGTTTTGTTTTATTTAAACCATACTCCCTCCGTCCCGGGGAGAAGTTCCCGGATTGACTTTCACACATTTTTAGGAAATAAAGTTACTAGTTACTGAGGAGTAAATTTTACTGTTTCGCACTGTTTCGATACTGTTTGGCACTGTTTCGACACTGTTTGACACTGTTTTGCACTGTTTGGCACTGTTTTAATGTAGGATAACTTTCCATTTAGGGAAATGGGAGGTTTCTTTTGGGACATCCAAATAAGGAAATTGGGAACTTCTCCCCCGGGACGGAGGGAGTAATTTTTTACGGATCTAAACCCAACTTCTTAATGCAAAAAACAATCAAATAAAATCAACGAAACAACTCATTTAGAACTAGTTTGGGATCACTAAAATTGGTTCAATCGATTGAATCGGTTTATTTGAATAGTCTATCTGTTTTGGCAGCTACTCTCTATTATAAATATATATATGTCATAATTGCTATGGCTTTGGAGAGATCACAGTAGGGGTATTGTGTGGAGGAGTGATCCCGTATTATTATTTCCCCTCATCTTTTCTTCTTCTTCTTCTTGTTTTTTATCCTTTTATCATTATATATATAAACATTATTTTATCACTTTTATTTTATCATTTTTAGGTATATTAATCTCTACCCTTTTTATATTGTCTTTTTTATAATAGCTTATCTTTTCTATCTTTATTTTATTTCTTTTCCTTTTGGTGGTGATATCATGTATCGATTCATGTTAGTCGACCTCAATATCTGTTGGGATTAAGGTTTGGTTGTTGTTGTTGTAGTATTTGTTAGAACTCTCATTAAGGTAACATGTTCCGTATATCACATTGTATCAAGAGACCAGACATAAAAAAAGTTCGGTTCTCTTCCTCCTCACGTTACAGCCACCATCATGATACTTTTAATGCAGCCTTCGTAATGACGGCGCCAGATGCCACATCTTCCACGAGCGCGATGATGAAGCAATCTTCCTCTACCCCGTCTCTGTTGCATCGGTTTCAGGTGCCACTAGTTCACCCTCGTCTACCTCCGCTTCGTCGACGCTGCTTTTGACCTTCCTGCGCCGCCTATGTTCTCCACGGCATAGCCCTACTCACTTTTTTCACTGCGGTTCCCGTGGCAGTCAGCTCACATGTAGTCCTCTCCGACAAATCCCCCCTCTATACTGCAAGCATGTCATTTCTTTGACAAATCCCCCCTCGATCATTTCTGCTTCTGCTTAAAATAAAGCAGAAGTAGAATCACTTACAAACACCCCATATATAAGGGTGGGCATAATGGTTTGGTTGAACCAAACCGTACCAAACCGAGCTAAACCGAAACTGATCGTGTGCAATTTAGTTTGAGTTTAGTACAGAGTACTATTTCTTTCAAACTGTATTAAACTGAACCGAACAGAAACAAATAAAAACTGAACAAAACCGAACCGAACTAAAGAAACTCATAAAAACCTTCACATATTATTAAAAATTAACAAATCCAAACCCGAACTAAACCGAACGGAATCAAACCGAAAAATAGTACTCCATATGGTTTTTGTTTGGTATTAATTCTTCCAACTCGTTCCAAACCGAACCGAAACCGAGAAAAATCCAACTAAAAAATGATATGCCCAGCTCTACCCATATAGAGTGTAATGCATCTAGAGAACTTGCTGCAACCTTAATTTTGACTGGTTCAATCTTAAATATTTGTGTAATTCAAGATCTATATACTGAATATTGCACCCCAAGTAGAAAATGAATACTGTGAAGGTCTGTCACATATTTTAAACTTGGAAGCCAACATCTATCGAAGACAGATTTCAAACTTCTTATCCATCAGATTAAGGCATCACTTTTATTAGATTTTACTATATTGTCGCTAGAATTTGAAAAACATACTCTGTATTTTCGCCGCAATTAGAGTTCTTTATGAATAATATAGCAGTATCTTTTAAGTTCGAAAGTTATTGTTGAATTGTTTGGAGTGATGTACTAAGACAAGCAATGAAATAGGATAAATGAATATCAGAACGTTTAACCTAATATCAAGAAAAATCACATGTGAAAGGTAAATTAGAATTCGATGTAACACAATTAACAGAACAACTCCAAATCCAGTATTTGGAGGTATAGATTTTAAAAGGTAAATAATAGCTAAAAGTCTAATAACCCTAGTCGGTTCAGTAACACTTAGTTCAGCTTAAATCAACTGAATTTGAAGAATTTCTTAATTTCCTGAAGTTAGTTGATAAATCATAAGCATGAAACTGGAGTAGGCAAAAACAAGCTTTACTGCAAATGGCATCACTGAATAACGGAAGGACTAAAGCAAAAAATTGCAGAAACAACTGCACATCTAATTCCGAATTCCGATTAGAACTTACAAAATCAACACGTTCTAAGTTCACCAAAAAGTAAAATACAACCAAACAGAGAAATAGACCAAATCCCCAACGAAGAATCGTCTAGCAATGTTCAGTAAATCTCTATCCGCCGAACCCATAGAGAGTCCTTCCCTGCCTCTTCAGCGCGTACACGACATCCATCGCCGTCACAGTCTTCCTCCTGGCGTGCTCGGTGTAGGTCACCGCATCTCTAATCACATTCTCTAGGAAGATCTTAAGGACGCCTCTGGTCTCCTCATAGATCAGACCGGAGATACGCTTCACGCCGCCTCTGCGAGCAAGGCGGCGGATGGCCGGCTTCGTGATGCCCTGGATGTTGTCTCGGAGAACCTTCCTGTGGCGCTTGGCGCCTCCCTTGCCCAAACCTTTGCCTCCCTTTCCGCGGCCAGACATTTTTGCACAGAGATATTGGATGAAGAAGACGATAGGGTGTGATTATTGAGTCGATTGTTGTTAACGATTTAGGGCTGAGATGTTGAAAATGGGGTTGGTTGGCGGTATTTATACTTCGTACATTGAGACTCCAGGAGGTTGTTGTTTGAAAATTCGCCGGGGATCTAATCTTGATCGTCCGTTTCAAGTGGGTGATCGACAGTCACTGATTGCGATCCGAGAGTAAAGCAAAGATGTACGTGAGTGGTTGATTGTTAGTGAATCGACGAATAGAATCCACCCATTGACTAATTGTCAGATATACTTCGTACTTGCATGGCGCTAAATTTTGGGACTGAAATAAAAATTTGGGCGCTCAACCTTAGTTTTTTTTTTAAACCAAACTCGCTTAATTTATCATAATCAAACGGACCAAAACAGGTTACAAAGTGACAACAAGTTTCCTGTCTATCGTCCGCTCAATGACCAGACTTTGAATTAATTGCCTCCGTAAAAGTCATATAATTCGCTGATCCCGCTTTGCGCTTACCAGAACCTATGACTTGCAGACACGACTCCTCATCCTCTGTTTTAGTTTCACAAGTTTTTTTGCTGGGAAAACATAGCACAACAAAAAAAACGTGGGAAATAAACAAAGCAAAACAAAAATAGTAAATAAGTTTTTCAGGTAGTAAAGCCGAAACCAGCATCAGATCATCTGGCGGGGGGCGCGGGGCTGGAGACTAGCGCCCACCCCAACCGCGTTTTTTGGGAAGTCCAGCACCATAACATTCTTTGCAGCTCCCAACTGTGACTTCTCTTCAGCTCTCCTGGTCCCTCTACTTCTTGTGTCTCACCTGAACTCATAGCATTCCCCATTTTAGCTTGAGTGCTCTCTCCTGTATCATCCAGGTCCGTGTCCTGCACTGACCTCACCATACGTGTTGTGTTCTTGCCACCTCCTTATGATCTCCCCTCTGAAATCAACCATTTACTACCCATGTTAGGCTTCGATCTCCGTCCACTCGCTCTTAGCCACTACCCAAATGGCCTAGTCAAAGCTTGCCCCTCTTTTAATTTTCATACAAAGAGGACATAATTTCTCAGCGTGTCCAATAATTCCACAACAAAAGCAGAAACTTGGGAGCTTCTCATATTTAAAATCTACCCAGTACCCTTCTCCCTTACTCTTTCTTAGAGTGGTCCCAATCTTTAAAGTTTTACTCGCGTTCATTCGGACTCTCACACGCATATAGGTTTCCCTCTTTTTATTAAATTGTTTATCATCCCAAGTGACAATTTCACCCAGATGATTCGCAATCCTTCTCGTTGTTCCCAAATTGTCAAAACTATACGACACATTATGAACATGTACCCAGATCTCAACTCATCTAGCGACACCTTAAGTGGGATATATATCATCCGGTTTAATCGCTTTTAACACAATCAAATTTTGATCAAACGGTTAGGGTCCATTATCTAGAACACGATTCATATCAACAGAGTGGAAAATTTTAAATAGATACCTCCGTTCACCAATCTCTTGTATTGAGATTCCTTTGTCCAGACGCCATAAATCAGCCATGAAATCCCTGAAGAACGGAAATCGAATGACTTCGTCCGTGAGAATCGTCCCAACACCCGGAAACTCCTCCGTCTTCACTGCCCCGGTCGCCGCTTCCCCCCTCCTCTTCGTCTTCAATCAGTAGTTCATCCTCAATTCTCCCAATTCCCATACTTTCATATTTAACGGCGAGATTACCCACCTGCTCATCCTCATGGTCTCGGTCATCTCTGTGCCCGTCATCTACTTGTCCTCCATCACTTTGATGCCTCGGTCGTCTAAGCCTCGCACCCCGACGCCAAAGGAGTGTCGATCGACCCGCCGCACGAAGACATCGAATAACTCACACCCTCAGCTCTCGCTAGGGTAAAACATTGGTACTATACGATGGCGCTCGACCTTAGTTTGTTTTTGGTTTTG